CCCATCCAGTAAACTTATATTTGAATTGGAAAATAATGCCTTTCTATAACATTTTTGTTTTTCATGGTATGTTAAAACCTCAGATTTACACAAGTATGATTTAAATAATATTTTGCTAAAAAGTCACGAACTCCAAATTAAAAAGAAGAGTCTATATTTGGTGTTATTTTTAACCATTATTTGTGAAATGGAGAAGATTTATGAGGACTAAAGGAAATATGTCAAGTATCTTATGCAGTGCATGGTCTATCGTAACTATTCCTTATATTTATTCATTCACAAATATTTATTGAGCTTTTACTACATGTAAGGCAGTGTGCTAGGCACTAGAGTTTTAGTGATGAAAATGAGTTATCATCCCTTCTTACATGCAGTTTATATTCTACTTAGCAGGAGAAACAGACATTAAATGACTTACTGCAAAATAATTATTTAATTTCTCTTGTGATTTGGATAATTTAGTTTGATTTTTCTTTGCTCACAGTTTTATTTCTTTGGAGTTAATACCTAGATTGAAAGGTACATACATAGAAACATATTCACCTTTTAAGATTTGGGATATATACTGCGACGTTACCCTCTAGAAAGCTTGTAAATTTTATTTTCCCACTTGCATTCTACAAACTCCAATATTGGGCTTTCATATTAAAAAAAAAATTCCAATACAGAAAAACAATGACATGATTATTACTTTAAGTTGTGTATATTTTATTATGAAATTGAAAATGTTAAATGCATATATGCAGTTTGTCAGAATGTTTAAAAATATTTAAAATTTTTTAAACACATAAGTTAATAAAAAATTCTGTCCTAATAAATTTTTTTTTTTCTTCTAAAAAGGATTATAGCATTTTAACAAAACAACTGAGCTAACCAAGTTGTTCAGCTTAGAAAAAATGTGAAGTTGGAATAATTGAACTGGGAGCTTCCTTTCTTCAGAGTCTACAATAAATGAAATTTTCCAACAATTTTTTCTGTTTGCTTACCATTATTTCTTGCTCCCACTCCTTCTCTCAGAGTGCTCTTTTCTTCTTATTGAAGTGCATTTTTTAGTGATTCCTTCTATATGGGCTTGTAGGTGATACCTTTTTTAATCTTTGTATGTCTGAAACTGTCTTTATCTTTATTTTGCGCTTGTTCTTAGATAATAGGTTATTTTCCCTCAATCCTTTAAAGATATTCCTCCATTATCTTGTGATATCTGTTGTCCTCAGATATCTGTCATGTGCTGTCAGTCTTTGATAGGTTACCTGTCTTTAGTCTGTGGTAGCTTTTGAGATTTTATCTTTATCATGGGTTATCTGAATCTCACCATGCTCTATTTATTTTTACTTATCCCACTTTGTATTCATTAAGTACTTTAAACTCATGTCTTTCTTTAGTTTTAGGAAATTGCCAGCACTCACACCTCAGATACTGCTTCTCTGCCATTCTCTCCATTTCCTTCTGGAACTCCTCAATTCCTCCTTGACTCATGTTAGCATCTCTTTATTTTTCCTCCTTGTTTCTTAACTATTTTTCATGTTTTGAATCTGTTTTTGCTGCATTCGGAGTGAACTCCTCTCTACTATCCTCTAATTCACTGCTTCTATCTTTAATCATATCTAACCTAGAGTTTCTCAGGTCTATTAAGACAACTGCATAGTTTATTTCCAGGATTTCTAATTTTTTTTTTCTTATCCACCATTCTTCCTTCATCTCTGCATGTTTTTGTTTACTAATTTAGAGTTCCCTTGATGGATGTTAATCTGTCTTTGATTTTTTTGAGCATCTTGAACTTATTTATTTTAAACTCTTCTGATCCTAGCTTTTTTTGTTTGTTTTTTATGCTTTCCATAGCTGATGGAGCCCCCCTCAAACCTCTGGTTTCAGTTACACTGGTCATCAGTGGAGCCAGTTTTTGCCCCTCGTGCCCTGTGGAAACTGAAACTTCCTGCTTCTGTTGGTTTTCAGACGTAGAGCCCCAGCAAGCCTCCAGCATCAGCTGTAGCAAAACATATGCTTTGCTATATCTTCTGTACCATCTGTCTGCTTTCCACTTTCTTCCATTCTTTTGTGTCCTTGTGAGTTTATACCTTTTTATTTTCTTTCAGTTCATCTGGTGTCATCTCGATAGATTTTCAGGAGGGAGATAATATAAGAGCATGTGTGTCGTCTACCATGTTTAACTGAAAGACCAGATAGTAGTTTCAATTTGCAACATTTTCATAAAAAGTGGTTAATAGGTTGGTTAAATTTTATAGCTTATTAGAAAGCCTACCAAACACTGGCATGCTCTCTAACCTTTATTCATAGCTTATAAACTATAAATCTGTAACATTTTATTTTTCCTAGCTTCTGGAGGGGTGTGATTTAACTTTTGTCAATTAGCATGCTGTTTTTGATTGTTGATCTGAAATGTTCTATGTGCTTTAGCAAGTGAGATTCTTTTCAGTATCCGAATCATTTAGGGAATAATTTGTATACCTTGTTCAGACCTCAGAGCAGATATACATCTTAAAGAGTACATCCTTAGTGCTTTTAGAATTAATGTAGTCTGCTGATTTCCTGAAAGGGTGACTAACCATAGACTTGTACTTCTCTGTGTGTATTTATAATGACTTGTTCAGCAAGTTCCCAAACAATCTACTCAGCTCATTTGTCTGAATCAGGGGGATAATGAACAAGAACAAGATGTCAAATGTAATCTCCATCAAAAAAATAATAGGAAAATAGACATGTAAGCTGAATAACATTTTGGTAGTAGTAGCATAATTTTTTTTTTTAATTTCTAGATAGTATAGTGTATGTATGAGAAAGAAAAAGTTCCTGCTGTATCTATACTTTGTCTAGAAGCATTTGACACATAGTAGACATTCTGCAAATACTTACTGACTGAATGAATGAATTGCGGGTTGGGATTCCAACCACAGCCTCTTCACTTCTACAGTGCATTCATTGCCTTGAACCTGTCCTCACTTTTAATACATTATGTCTGGTTCTGACTTCCTTGTACTCCAGCCTCATTTCTGCTTCACGGAGGGGAGGGCCCAGGCAAGGATAGTAGGATAGTGCATAGTTCATAAAATTGTAACACATTCTTTGTACATGGCTATTGATTGAAATGCTTTCTTTGCGTAATTATTTTCTCCAATTATAAAAATCATACATATTTATTGCAGGAAAGTTGTACAGCTTAGGAAAGAATTAAAAACAAAATAAAATCATACGTGATCCAAAGATAGCTGGTTAATATTTTGCGTGCCTCTTTGTGAAATTCTAATGACTATATGCATCAAGGTTTGGTCAAGAAAACAAAAACCACTCTAAGTATTTTAGCAAGAAGGGATTTCATACAGGAATTTAGAGCTTGCAAAACCATTGGAAGATTTGAAGAAGCAAAGTGAAGGAAACTGTCATTGGCTTTCAGGAACATAAGAAGTGCAAGAATCACAGGAAGGAGCCATTGATAATCTTAGCTGCCTACAGCACGGAAGTAAATGATTTGCAGGCCTGTGCCTGGAAGTGGCGGTAAACCTCACATCTGTAGCTTACCCATATGACTGTCTGCCCGCTGCTGCCAGAGGAGAATAAGGGCTTCTCCTTTTTTTTTACTTTCCAAATCTTGCATAAGTGCCTTTCACTCGTGGGATCTAAATCAGAACCCTGCTGGTAAGGAAGCCTGGAAAGTGGAGTTTTTGGGCTTCTGCCCCTATGACATAGAGAGCATTCACAAGGAGCAAAAATGATCTTTCAGTTCTGAGTGATACACTTATATAAACTCTTCTTGTCACTCAAAAGAACAACAATATGTTTTTTTCTACGTCTCTTGCTATTAGCCAATCCCCATGAATGTATGATTGTCTCTTATTTTAGGCAAAATGAACCCCCAGATATATTTTTTGAAATTCTGCCAACTGTGAGGGTTTCTTTTCCATAATACCCTTAGGGCCAATCTTGAGTGGGCTTTTAAGTGTCAGCAGTCTTCTAGAAGATGCCAGCATATTGGGTGTGGCCATCTGTATATCAGGCCTGACTTTTTCTCTCTCAGTGTACCTGGTCATCAGAAACTCCTCAAGAAGACACAGATGTGAGTTGAAGGAAAGCCATCACAGAAGCAGGAAGAGATGCCATGGGAGTCTAGGCTCATGTAATTTATTTGTGCCTGTAGGACCTGTTCAAATCTGATATCTATATATATCCTTCCCCCTCAAAGATGGAGTGCTGCTCAATGCCCACCTTTATGGCTTAGTGTTCATAATGGACTACCCAGATTTCATGGTCACTCAGTATCCTATGCTTAGGCATGTCATCTCTACTAGAGCCTAGTAGAAAGCTAGCAGCTACTTCTCAAAGCAGGAATAATTGTGGTGGACCAGGGGATGACATTGCTCTAAATTCCTAGGGTCCATTCTGTGACTCTCTGACCAGGACTAGACAGAGGCTTCATACACAGCTTATCTGCCACCAACACTTTGAGCACCACCAGAACTGCCAAGCTGTAAGGCCCAAGGGGGCAGAACAGCTTTCACTGCAGCTTGGACCAGTAATAGGGCCTTCCTCTGCTCTGGACCCCTCTGAAAGCATATGGCCTTACACGTGTTTTGGTAAGAGGTTAGGAGGAGCACCTTCACATGTGGTAGAAATTGCCTCCAAAATCCAAAGAGGCCCCGAACTTGCAAGGGCAGAGGTGGTACTGGGGAATAACAGGCCACGTCAAGTACATTCTATAAGCTTTTGTAATTGGGCTCTCACTGCATATATGGTTTTGTGCTCATGAGCATTGTAAAGCCTTTGCTCCTTTGATGGTTACATCTCTAATCTTATAAAGCACATCTCTGTGGTTTAACTTAAAAACCATGATGAGGGCAGCTCTCTGAATTTCTTGGAACCTCTGTTAAAAAGAATGACTCATAGCGCAGTTTCTTAGAGTGGGGTCATGCATTTTACAGTATGTAAGGAAGCTTTAACGCTTGTTTTCAAACTTTAATGAGAATTAGCTTTGTTGTTTGCCTGTACAGATGTGATGCCAGCATAGCCAGACTCTCTGCAGAACACAAAACGACCTATGAGGGGCTCCAACACTTGAACAAAGAACAGCAAGCTGCCAAACTTATCTTGGAAACGAAAATCAAAGATGCAGAGGGACAGGTATGGCGTGTATCAGGTAGCCATTTAAAAGTGGTAATTTGTTCCTTGCTGGGAATAACATGGTGTTGCCTCTTTCTTACAGGAGACACTAACTAGGGCACCCAGCATAAGCTTCTCTTTACTTCTTCCTTCCCTCTATGTCACTGCAGGGGCCCTTCATGAATATGGCAACCAAACCGCCAAGATTTTTGGGTACAGTCCTAATTTCAAAGA